ATGGTGACAGTCATCGCTCGCTGTCGGCAGTTGGGAAATGATGCAAAACGCGCAATATGATGTTTTGCCTTTGAGTGGCGCTAGACTTGAGTGGAGCCTCTGGAGTGCGAAACACAACGGACGCTTAAGTCTATGGGAAAATGCGCACACCGACAGATTTTCTGACTTGCATACGGGAGAATATGCACAAGCTACATCTCGATCATGGCCACAATTCAATTGTTTTTCTTCCCATGTCGTGTAGGGCTCCATAGTTTTGTACACAACAAGCTAATGCAAAGACACTGAACTCAAAACAGACACTTTCCAATATTGCTCTTTGCCAGATTCACAGTTCTCTGTGAACTGTAATTAAAAGTGACAAGAGAGGGGAAAGAAAATTAGGTTTGAGAGGAGCCTGGGCCATTGGAGGAATGCTTCATCTTCTCCATGTGATAAATGGTACCTATTTTCCAAACAAGAGGCGATAAGGACTTTTTCCATTGTAGCGACAACGCTTTTATTACTTAACAAATGCTGCTGTCCAAGTATAGACTCAACACCACATGATAAAACACTCCGTATGTGCTAACTGGTATGCATAGGACTAAAAATAAAATAGATCATGAATAATTTAAGTCTTGGACGATGGGCAAAAAATATTCTTATCAGCTGCGGTGGGAGAGGATGATCACTCACCTATTCGACTGCATATGGTAACAAGAAGCTCCCCGACCGTTTTGGAGTCGTCCACCATGATGGTCTTCACCGCGCCGTCAAGCATTTTGATCTTCTGCGGTCTTTGTTTCTTCTTGTACTCCAAAATATCCTGCAAGGCAGAAGAGGAAATGATTCTCAGCAGAGGAATACCGCGCATGGCGCGCTGTAACAATGTAATCACATTAACAGATACGTGAACACTGACAGTTCTCCACCTCACGCTGTACTACTTAATCTTACTCCGTTTCGTAGCATGTAGTAATCCAGGGTTCTTCCAGATTCCAGCCATATTCCTTTCCTGGGATCATCGTCAGACAGGAAAAGACCATAATCGGAGGCTGAAGCACAGCACAAAAGGGGAACCGTGAATGTAAATGATGATAAAAATAAACATCCATCATTAAATTTGGATGAACTCAATTGTCCGTGAACCTTGTCCGGACTGAGCTTCTGGGACACGTTCCCGGATGATCCTGCAGGCGTCGTACACAGGCGTGGATGGCTCAAATTGCATCGTCTTGACCACATTGCACTGGCGCACGCAGATCTTTAGTGACAAAGCCACCATCTTGGGGGGTAAAATGGCCTCACTCGCCTACACACCTAAAACACAGAGTGGAAAACGATTCCGCATGATA